CTAGTCCTGGAACCTACCAGAGAAACACCTTTAGTGCAAAGGGTTTGTGTTACTAAACCACTGGGCAATAGTGACCACAATGCAACTAGATTTGACATCCATGTAGCAGGGGAGACAAGAAAAATCTACCACTGTACCCTTTAATTTTAAAAGGGGAAACTACACCAAAATGAGGAAGTTAGTTCGATGGAAGTTAAAAGGGGCCTGCAAAGAAGTGAAAGAATTGCAGGAGGCACAAAGCAAATGAGTACCAAAAATAAAAAATTGGAAAGCACACCAAAAGCAAACCAGCATGGTTTCATGGCAGAGTTGCAGAGGCAATAAGCAAAAAAAAAAAAAAAGGAAAGAAAAAAAGGCTCCTTTTTAAAAGTGAAAGTCAAATCCTAATGAAGAAAATAAAAAAAGAGCACAGTAAAGCAAAAGTAAAAGTGAAATAAGACAAGCTAAGAGGGAATTCGAGGAGAGACTTGCCAGGGACACAAAAGATACTAAAAATTCCTTTAATTACATTAGAAGCCGAAGACCTGCCAGGAGCTCAGCTGGGCCTTTGGATGATCAGGGTGTATATAAGGCATGTTAAAGATTGAAAGGACCATCACTGAGAAACTCAATGCATTCTTTGCATCTGTCTTCACAGTGGAAGACGTTAGGGAAATTCTGTCACCAGATCCACTCCTCCCTAGGGACAAGCTGACCCAAAGGGTGGTTTCAGTAGATGAGGCTGTAGAGAAGACTGATCAACTAAACAGTAGCAAATCACCAGGATTTGCTGACCGCTTAACTGTAGGACAAAAACTACCGCTAAAAACAGCTTTCGTACTAGAGGACTGCCAATGTGACTCCCATATTTAAAAATGGCTCTAGAGGAGATGCAAGGAACTACAGGGCGGTGTGTCTTAACTTCTATTCCTGGAGAACTGGTAGGAACAAGACTGAAAAAAAAAAAAGAATATCTCAGCATGTGGATGAACATGACTTGCTGGGGAAGAATCAACTTGACTTTGTTAATGGGAAATTGTGCCCCACCAACCTATGAGAGTTCTTTGAGGGTGTTAATAAGCAGGTGGATCAGGGTGATCCAGTTGACATAGCACATCTGGACTTCCAAAAAAGCCTTTGACAAGGTCCTCCATCAGAGACTAATTTAGAAAGTCACAGGATTACAGGGAATGTGCACTCATGGATTAGAAATTGGCCCCCAGGTCAGAAAGCAAAGAGTGAGGATAAATGGCCAGTTTTCAGGATGGAAAGAAGTAAACAGTGGGATCCTGCAGGGATGTGTGTTGGGACAAGGGCTGTTTAACATATTCATAAATGATCTGGAAAAGGGGATGAGTAGTGAGGTAGCCAAATTTGCAGATGACAAAATTATTCAACGTGGTAAAGACCAAGGTGGATGGTGAGGAACTACCAAAGGATCTGGCATAGTTGCCCATTTGCTCAATCAAATGGCAGATGAAATTTAATGTAGATAAGGGTCAAGTGATGCACATGGGCAAAAATAACCCAAACTCTACCTACACTCTGATGGGCTCTACATTCACTGTTACCACACAGGAGAGATCTGGGAGTCAGCGTGGACAGTTCAGTAAAAACATCAGCTCAGGGCTCAGCAGCCACCAAGGCGGCAAAAAAAAAAGTTAGCAACGATTAAGAGAATTGTGAACAAACCAGAATGATAACACGTAATAAATCCACAGTGCATCCACACGTTGAGCATTGTGCCGAGTTCTGGTCCCCAGCCCTCAGAAAGGAGATAGAAGGACTAGAGAAGGTCCAGACCAGGGCAACAAAGACAACTGGAGGTATGGAGGGGCTTCCAGATGAGGAGAGACTAAAGAGGGTAGGCCTGTTCAGGTTAGAAAAGAGATACTTGAGGGGGAACATGATGAGCATTTACAAAATACTAAATTAGTGAAGAGAAAGTCAGTAGGGATTTACCATTTACTGTCTCACCATACAAGAACAAGGGGTCACAACATGAAAGGAGTGGGTAGTAAGTTGAAAACAAACATAAGGAAGCTCTTTTTCACCCTTTGCATCATTAAAGCATAGGACTTGTGTCCACCAGACAGGGTAGAAGCTGAGAGTTTAGCCAGATTCAAGAAGGGACTGGACACATTCTTGCAGGAAAGGGGCCCCAGTAGCTATTAAGCACACGAGTGAGGGGCACGGCCGCTGAACCAAAACTTCCTGGACCTTCAATGCTGGGAGCTGCACACAAGAGAAGACAGTCAGACCCTGCCCGCCTCCCTTTCAGCATCTGCTCCCTGCTGCTGTCCAACACGGGTACTTATTTGGTCCATTCAGCCCAAAGGCAGAGAGCACTATTCCTGCTTTACCATAGGGCTAAGCGAGAAGCACCAGGAGCAGGCCCCAGGAGAGGCTGCCGCCCAGAGCGAAGCTCATGCTCAGGGCCCTCAAACTGCAGAGCCCTGACAGCAGCAGGTTAACACCAGCACTGCTGCATGGTGCTGTAACAAGTGCCATGTAGCTGTGTGGGCGGGGGACAGAGGAGCAGAGGAGAAAAACCTGCTGTCAAGCTCACTGTGGTTTAGCCTTCTCTTTCCCACACTGGCCAACTACAGAAACCACTGCACTGCTCTAGCCCAAACCAATACACCTTCCCAGCCATCGTGCATCATTCTGTCCATCGTGCTAGCCCGGTCGGCAGCACAGTAACTGCCTGGCGCCATCCGCAGAGCGACGCTTCATCGCGTCACACAGGAGGCAGAGCCAGGCTGAAGGGAGACGCATCCTCGGCTCACCCCGACAGAACATGCGCATCACCCAGGGACACGGGGTAGACGAGGGGTCTGGCGGCTGCTCCCAACAGTCCTCCACAGCCGAGCACCCACACCATGGCAGCCTGGGCCAGGCAGACCTCGGCTCTGAGCCCGCCAGTGGCAGCTCTTGCACACATGCCCGCACACAGGTGTGCACAGGCAGATACACACACATGCAAATAACAGACACGTGCTCACAGGTACACACACGTATGCAGGTGCACAGAGATACACCCTCCCACACAGATGCATGCGCGCGCACACACACCCACACACATGCATGCACACACAGGTCTACACACGCACACAGGTACATGCACAGATATGCACACACAGGTGCGTTCGTGCACAGAGAAGCACACACACACACACACACACACACAGGTATATACAGATGCACATACATACCCACAGACACACATACACACACAGAGCTGATGGGCGGGAGGGGCACCCCCAAGTCAGGGGCGGGGCGGGACTGGGGGCAGGGGCTGCGCGGACTCACCGCCAGGGCCGGGGCCGGGGCCGGGGCCGAGACTAGCCCAGGCCGACTTCCGCCCTCCCTCGGCGCAGCCTCGCTGCCCGGC